TCGGGGTCGCCTAAGACCATCAGAAAACAAAAAGATATTTACATTACGATTCATAAAAGTAGCAAAATGACAGTTATAGAGTAGCAACGAAAATAATTTTATGGTTGGGGGTCACCACAACATGAGGAACTGTATTAAGGGGTGGCGGCATTAGGAAGGTTGAGAACCACTGCTCTAAAGCCTGAAAGGTCCCCTTAAAGGACTAAATCTCTGGGATCTTAATTTAGGGTTGGCATAATCACCAGCATTAGTTTCTTTTCCCTGTTTATTCATTCTTGGCCATTTAAAAATGACGCTGTCATTTTTCAGAATGAAAATCCTGGGATCTGAAAAGGCTTATACGTCAGAATTTAGAATCAGAGACAATTTGTTCCTGAGGGTTATGTTTGGAGGACATAGCTAATTGAAATATCTTGGCACCTGTCCCCTCAGGCACTCTCCTCACACATCAAGAGATTTCCAGCGCACATCCCTGATACTTGTCAGATTCAGGTAAATGTGGCTAAAAGCAGCAAAGAAGAGACACTCAACAAGGCAAAGCTACACACACAGCTGTTGCAATCATGAGACTTGGTTTGTGTTTATTTATGCAAGAAAAATATAGTGACTACCTACCAGGTTATTTTTCTTAATTACGTGAATGTAGTCATGGGTGTTTACATTATTCTGTATCCATTTTTGTATGTCTGAAATATTTCAAAATAAGAAAGGCTTTATCCAGTCAACATAGTTTATCCATATTCAACAAAAGGTGAGGGAAGAAGCCTTCTTGGTCCTTGTCATTTGATGGAGAGGTGCCCTTTCACAGGCTGATGGTCAGATGCTCAGGAAACACTCAATAAGTTAATAGGAGGAGACCTTTCACCTGAAAAGCTAGTGATTCTCCATGGGCTACCTTTTTATCAAATAATTGCTGTTGTCAACGCCAAAGATTTATTTTTCTTTCTAATTCAAAACTTTTAGTTCAGGACTTTGAAACATTTCTATTTTCACAGGGGGAGAAGGAAGAACTTACTTTCTATGAGCATCACGTGCAGTAAGAGTCATAATAGCGATTGTTCTTCATCAAGGACATTTGTCCCTCATCAGATTCAATCTTCAGAGTTCATAGCATAATCAAAGTAGGATTCTATACATGTAGACAGAGTGATACTAACCCGTCTTTTAAACATATATGTATATATCCGAACCAACACAAGTGGCTAACCCAGGTTATGTACATTAATAAGAGAAATGGAACATTTTCATTGCAAGTCATCTAACTCTACAGGCGTTTGGCTTTGAGAACCCATAGAAAATATCCCAGGTGACTAAAGTGAGGCCACTATCATTGAAACACTTGATTACTCTCCAGTATGATCAAACATTAGACAAAAATCATTGCTCAATTATAGCCCACGGCCAAAACCAGAAAATGCAAGCCAACTGTTCAGCTGATTTCCCCACTCTCTCTCACCCGTTTGGATTAGTGGGCCTGAATAATCTTCTGTGCACTGCCTTCTCTTGCTTCTAGGATTAGGAATGAAAAAAAAAATGTGCAAAGGTTAAACTAAACCCTGGAGAAGGTACCTCACACAAACTGTAACTAAGCCACCCAAATTCACAGAATTGGTCCATGAAGAAGAGCCTTCATCATTCTCCCTCCATGGTTGTCCATGATTAAAAATGTTCAGAAAGAGTCTGGTTAGCCTTACTGGGTGCAGCTATGACCGGTAAATAACCAGTCACAATTTTCCCTTTTGCATAGTTTCCTTTCTGCATCCATCCTGCTTTCATAAAAGTGAAAAAGGAATTTAAAGATAATCTAGAGGAATCAAAAAACAAACAAACAAAAAAACCAACCAGGTGGCTTCTGGTCTATTGAAACACTGTGCTTATCTTCTCTGACAACCACATCAAAATTATAACTAAACTGCAAAACAACCATCATTGAAAATTGCCTGAAGTCTTGTTAAACCAAAGCCCTACTACTAAGGACAAACAGAAGAAGCCACTTTGAGACTGGTAAGAGGGGCAGAGATTCGGAACAGGCTGGTCCCATACCTGCATGTGACCATTCAATTCAGGAGGCATATCTTGACTGTGGAGGTGTCCCCTGGAGAAGCAAGAGGTCCCACTGCCACACCAGGCTCCCCACTCCAGAGTTCCAGTGCCAGGGAGGGAAGTCCTCATAATTTCTGGTTGTGAAAACCAGTGGAGTTTGTGGCTGAGTGTGACGGAGGGCAGCTCCTCTTTGAGGGACAGTGCATCAACTTAATGATGGAATCACTGGCTCTGAGCTCCAGCACTGGGCAGCAGCAACTCGAAAGGCAAAAGGAACATTCGAGGCGGGACTGAGTTGTCTGACTCCAGGGTGAGGCCTGGAAGAGCAGCTTTTGCCCAGATGGAGGAGCAGGTGGAAGCCATTTTTTCTTCATTGAGCCCTCCCTCTTCCCAGCCTGCAGATGCAGGTGGGAGCCATATCTGAATTTCCATCAACCTGGTTAACACCATTCATTTGCCCTGCCCTGGTGATTCTGAGACCCCACCTGACCCAAATTTCAGGGACACACAAGCCTCTTCCAGTGGCTTTTTCTATAAACCACCTGCATTGGCTCATGCTGCAGACTTTTCTAAAGCCTCTCAAAGGTTCACAAAGCCCAAACAAGCAGCATCTTCTGGCTGAACAGCCCTAAGCCCAGCACTAGTGGCAGCTGGCCTTGGTTCATGGCTTGGCCTCTCAAGGTGCTTCCAAGCACAGTGTAGGCGGGGCCATCTCCAGATTGCTTTGTGGCTCATGCCAGGTGGCTCCTGTTAGGGCACAGGCTGTGGCTGAAATTGGCCTGCAGCAGGTCCCCTCCCAGGTGGGCCTGGGGCTGGCACACTCAATGGCCAGCTTTGAATTAAGCTGGACCGTCACCTACCACCTCCAAGGATGACACACACAAAGGTCAGACTGGACAGGCACCAGAGCCCTGCTAAAGTGAATTCTTTAGCTCCATAGGGTCAGCCCAGCCACAACAGCTTCATCACTATAGTAATGGCCAGTCCTCACAACCAGTGAGCCCAAAAGTCAATCCCTCCAACTGACATGCAAACAGCAACCAAAGCTTAACTGTCACAGGAGGACACACAGAAGCCACACAAGGGACACATCTGGAGCACTCAACTCTGGTGACCAGGAGACTGTGCCACTAAGACCCACAGGACACCTACTATATAAGACCATTCTATTAAGACAGGGAGGCATAGCAGCCCTACCTAATACATAGAAACAAGCACAGAGAGGCAGCCAAAATGGGGAGACAAAGAAACATGTTCCCCCAAAAAAGAATAGAACAAAGCTCCAGAAAAAAAACTAAGCAAAATGGGAGGGGCGTTGGGGTGTGGGTGAAAAAGGGGAAGGGATTAAGAAGTACAACTTGGTTGTTACACAGTAGTCATGGGGATGTAGGGTACAGCATAAGGAATACAGTCAACAATATTGTAATAAGTACTATATGCATGATGTCAGATGGGTACTAGGTCGATCAGGGTGATGGATGGGAGGGGGGTTGGGTGCAGGGTGAAAAAAGTGAAGGGATTAAAAAATACAAATTGGAAGTTATAAAATAGCCAATTGGGATATAAAGTAAAGCACAGGGAATATAGTCAATAATATGGCAACAACCATGTATCGTGCCAGTGTCTAACCACTATGCTGTACACCTGAAATTAATATAAAATAATATTGACTGTCAAAAAGAAAAAACAAACCATCAGGAGAGGTCAACCGATTGGCGCCATTCCTCCTTTCAGTACAGTGCAGGGAATGAATGAGGCTGCAAGCGCGAAAGTGTTTGCAAACTATGTCTCAGTTTACTGTGCAAGTAATCTCACTAGCAGCAGGGTGTCTATGTCTCCTGATTCTTAACCCTTCCCATACACTACCTCTTTGTGTTACAGAGAAAAGTGTGGCCCCAAATGCTTACACAGTGTGGACAAGGTCACAAACGGCACCAGGGACCCATCTCCTAAATGAAAGCTCTCTTTCCACGTGCAGCACTGAAGCAGTGACCTGGCTGCCTAGGGTCCCAGATACTGGGGTGTTTGGACCTGAGCACAGCAATAACCACCATACTCCCTGGTTCCTGGGCCAGTCACTGTTACACTGGGCAACTTATTCAGTTCACTTACACGACTAGAGATGTCCCAGTACAAAATGAAAATTCATCTCTTAGCTGTCATGAATATACGTTAAAGCAACGCAAATGCCTTAAAAGCAATGGCAATATGCTGACTGTCAAAAATGTGGGAGTTTGCTCTTGTCTATTAATAAAACTCTTCCTAAAGAATGAAGCATTATAGGGTATATAAAATATATCTAAATAGATGTGTCAAAACTTGATGAGCCTGAAGTTGTTGGTATAGCTTCTTTGTAAAGTACAACACAGCGCATCTTGAAATAGAAAATGCATCGTTTTAAATCTTAAGCTTTTTATTTACTACAATGCAGAACATTTTATTTTTAGACATCAGTGGGTTTGGTTTTGTTGACATTTTTACTTGTTCAGCTGAAAATAAAAGTCAAGAAAATCACATGGTGACTAATAGTAACCTATCAGGATAGTAGAGCAAGTACATAGACCATTTAGACGGATGTTAAAGCAACTGGCCAGTAAACGCTTTCTTTCTGTCTAATAATTATGACACACTAACAGTCCAATAACGTTGCACTAGGAATCCTCTAGAGCAGGGGTCGGCAAACTGCAGCTCGCAAGCCACATGTGGCTCTTTGGGTACGTTCTGTCTCAAAAGGTTGCTGACCCCTGGTAGAGCCAATCCTGTCCCTCAAAGCAATTTAAAAGTTATTCGAGAGCAATAAGTATATTTTTACATAATCACCATTATGTGAATAATATCCTTTAAAAATTGTATAAATGAAACTATGATAGTTTTATTCTCATTTTCAATTTTACTTCAGAGCCACATGTATGTACCCAAAGAGCCACATGTGGCTCGCGAGCCGCAGTTTTGCTGAACCCTGGCGGCTCTTCCATCTCAAAAGTTTGCCGACCCCTGCTCTAGAAATAATTAAAAGCTTTCATTTTATACATGGAATAGTCACAGAATGTATATGGCTCACATTCACTTATCAGATTTGCCCATCCTAAATTGCTCTGAGAGTCAGAGAAATGGATATTTTTCATATGTTGTGCAACAGTTTCTCTAAAAGTCTCTTCATGCTCAATAAGACTAACATGTCACTGAGACACTTCTTAATCTCAATGTGTGACATGGAAGTAGACACATCCATCATAAACACATACATAATTAGGAGGCTCAAGGAATATGCAAAGATGGCAAGAAGTCATTTGATGCTTTGGTTATGTTCTAGGAACAAATATATATTTCTTGGCAACTAGCCAATCAGTTTTGGAAATAATATCAGACACTGACCCAATAAAAGTCTAACAACCTACGCCTTGCTTTACATGCACCATTAGGGCCTGTCACCAATCAGCGGCCATCTCTCTCAGGCATACATTCCTTTCTTTGGAATCATGAAACACCCCTAGATAAATTTGCCCTTCTCCGGGGAAACACATTTCTCACTCAACTGCAAATCCTGATTCAAAGCGAAAATGAATGCAGGCAGGCAATTTAGGTTCTTTAGAAAACGTCCTTAAAAATGACAAATGTATGTGATGTTAAAGCCATCCAATATGTCTGCATGCTGCCTTATTAAATTAAAAACACCTGGTTTATTTATACAATCTATCCAATGGCTTACAGATTGGGATTCTAGAAACAATACATGTCTTATAGCAAAAAATATACATATAATAATCCACCTATAGTTTATATAAATGATGCAATGTTTCTGAATATATCTATATATCTATATATGTACACATATATACTCTGCGTGTGTGTGTGTGTGTGTGTGGTTGCAGCATCAGCACACAAATACTGCAGTCCTTCATTGGCTCTTCCACTTCAGTGTCAAGGACACCAGGTTTCAAAGTCTTAAGCTGCTGAACAAAGGTCACCGCTGAGGACAAAGGACTGGCTTGATGCACCTTCCCTTGTGGAGGACCAAGTTGGCGGGACAATGACAACCAGCGACACACGGCTTATTGCATGGACCAATCTCATTCCAGTTGTCACACGTCTTGGCACATCCTGGACCACAGGTATCATACACAGCACCATGCTTACACTGGGTGGCTGGAAAAAACAAAAAAAGAGACACAGGTGAGATGGAAAGAGATGGCCTCAGTAATTCACCCTCAGCCTGATGCCATTCTCCAGGCTCACGTCACTCACTGCACAGGCTTTTCCACAGCACGGGTTCACTTGTGCATTTTAATAAAGGAATAACCAACACTGAACATTCCTCAAACATGCTGGGAATCACCTGCACCTGGAAAAAAACATCCAAGATCCATCTGCTGGGTCAATGAACCTCAAAATAAAATAAAATGAGAAGCTTTTATTCCCAGATAAGACAAACTGGAAGTTAATAAGGCTACCAGAAAATCTATAAGGTTATTTAGTTATTGATAATAGTATGCAAAATTAACACCAAAGAGTCCTTCAAGCAATTGAGCTGTGAAGAATAGGGATATTTTGTGCAAACTTACCAATATTCTAACAGACAGAATCACACATCCAGAAAAAAAAACCTACCAAAGATTTTGGAAATGTGTTACATATTTTAATTGCAGGGCTTCTGGGTTGAATTAATCAAAACGAGGCAAGTTAGGGCAAAAGGAAAGCCAAATAGGGGAAATCAGGTGTGTGGCCAGGGAGAGGAAAGCGGGTGGCTGGCTGGACCAGAGAACCCCAAAATGATGACGCAGCCAAATCAGTTTGCTATCTTTGTCAACTTAGAGCTAAAATGATTTTGTCAATGTTCTGAGAGTTCCTGAAAATTCATGAATAAATTTGTCAAAAAAAATACAGCCAACATTCTGGAAGTTTTATGACACACTGACTTTCCCTTCTGAGTTCTTTCTAGTGGCAGCCAAAGGGACCAAACCTCATTCTCATGAGCAAGAATGTCGTGTCGTGGACACTGCAGGAATTTAGAGGAGGGACCCTGCAAGAACACCAGTGATGATCCAACCTTCATTTGAAGTCGCTCCAAACAAAATGAACGGCAATGGAAGATTATCAACTTAAATGCCTCTATTGCTTATTCATGCCACATGCAGAATAATACCTGCGGGAGAATCGTGTCATCGCCAAATGGAAAAACAGAATTGGTTTTCAAGCAAGTGAGCCTTACTTTGAGAGTTTCAAATTATATATTTACAGTTACCACAGAGCATGCGTGTTTGACCATGTCCAATGAGCAGTAAGAACCATAAAAGTAAATTCTATGAAGGCTCCTCCAACACCCATTACGCTCGTTTAAAAACAACCAAGAAAAGAGGTGCCTTCTCCAGAGAGCAGTCAGCTATCTCTCACAAGTTCTTACATATTATTAGAAAACTGAGCTGCATGAGACAGAATTTTGAGAAATTCCCTGAGTGGAACCAACCTCATACTAGTATTTGGCTCTAGAATGATCATTCTTCTATATGGATTCAGCTCCTTTGCCGGGCACTGGCCTTTTCCTGCTTATTGCCCTACACCTGGTTTATCCCTTTTAAACTGTTAAACATGCCTCCATTAGTCAATTTGAGTATGCCATTTGTTTGATGCCTTGATCCTAACTGTCAGAGTAAACAAGGAAAACGTTACTTGCGGCCCTTTAAGGGTACCTTCCCTAATGTTACCTCCACAATGGAACTTTATGAAGTTGCTTCAGCTTTTCACCATTTAATTCTGCTCCTTAGGCCACCAGGGACCTCGCGCAGCTGAGCCAATCCGGAAGGCCTGTCCTTTGCCTTAACCTAGTGCCATTATCTAGCTTGGTGGACGTCACCAGAACTCATCCCATCTTCCTCTGCGTTAGACTCAGTTTCCAACCTTCCCCCCACCTCTCTTGTCTGGATTAGATGCCCCTCAACTGTATACTCCGGCCACCTGCTGCCCACGTCTAGCTTTGCATTTGTATCATGAAATGAATAATCCTCAGTTTCCTCGTCCTCTCTCTCCCCACCCGACTAAATCTAAGCTACTAGAAAGAGGGAGTTTTGTTTCTTTCTTTTCACCAGTAGTGGGGCATTTAACATGCACTAGGCGCTCAGAGGGTGACTGAATGCATAGATATGGGAATGAGGGAGTGGCTAGATGAACACAACTCTCCCTTTCAACCTCTCCATTTATGCTTTTCTGGTAATCTTTTGACTTTTCACTGATCCCTTCAAAGTTCTTCTATTTTTCTCTTTTCAGTGACAACAGAATACCCTATATTTTGTACGTGACTGATCATCTGGACTCATCCTAACTGAATATCATATGACACACAATAATCGTACCCATGTATTATTAGGGTTCTGTGAACCAGTGGCGTTCAAAGCTGGCAATTAGGATCACTGGGGAGCTTCCTGATGCCTGGACCCCACCCCAGACCAATTAATTTAGAACTCTTAAAGGTAACTAAAAAAAAAAATAATAATGCTCTGTCAGCACAGGTATTTTTAACGTGCAGTCAGGACTAATAACTGGTCCTCACAACAACCCTGACAGTCACACGTCAGCCACTGCAGAGACTTAGGTCATTGTAGCAAATGAGAAGGATACTAATATCTCCAGAGAGAAAGCAAGCACACAGTGGGAGCTCCTACTGTCTCCCCTCATCTTCCACCTAAACTCCACTGGAACTCTGCCCTCGTCCTCTTATTGATGCATTCAGGTCGTCTGCGAGAGAAGCCTTCACTCATCTTCCATTGCCTCTCCTCATTTGCACCCATCCTTGATTTTCCATTCCTCTTTTCTGACCCATCTCCTTCAGGAACTTGCTTTATTATTTATCGTCATTGCACATTAATCTTCTTCCCCTCTGTTGACTCAATCCTCTAGACGTTAGAAACATTTTCAGATCAACACTAATCTTGAACAAGAAAGAGTCTAGTCTATCGGACTTATTCTCCTCTTCCTTTTACCTCCAAACTTCATAGGAGAGGTTACTGTCATTTCATCCAATTCTTCTGCAAGTAGTTGACATCCGGGATCTATCTTCCTCAGTTGCCACTTGACTGGAGCAGTTCCCACCAAAATTTTCAGTAATGACCATATTTGTTGACATATTGGCAATCCCCATTATCCCATGACTCTCCACAAAATATTTGCTCTTTTTTTAATCTTATGACACTGAGCTCTTCAGGGTCTTCTGCTAACACCTTGAGAACATCTCTCTCTTGAGCTTCTTTACCTACTCGCTGGCACTAAATGTTCAAATCACCTCCAAGACTCTTCTCTCTTCTCTCTCTCTCTCTCTCTCTCTCTCTCTCTCTCTCTCTCTCTCTCTCTCT